GGTGTGGGTGTGGGTGTGGGTGTGGGTGTGGGTGTGGGTATGGGTGTGGGTGTGGGGGTGGGGGTGGGGATGTCGATGTGGATGTGTGTTGGTAGATGAAGGTCGCAGTGTTATTTCTACCGACAGTTACACCCACACCCACACCCACACCCGCACCCATACCCACACCCACCCACACCCACAGCCACAGTCACGGCCACAGCCACACCCACACTCACACCCACACCCACACCCACCCACACCCACACCCACACCCACCTACACCCACACCCACACCCACACCCACACCCACACCCACCCACAGCCACAGCCACACCCACACCCCACACCCACACCCACACCCACACCCGCAGCCACAGCCACAGCCACACCCCACACCCCACACCCCACACCCTCATCCACACCCACCCTCGATAGGTAGACTTTATGATTTGAATTGAGTCTCGCGTTTAATTATCTCAAATATTTCTCAACATGCGCTTTATAAAGATAGAGAAACAAGATTATGGAAATCTTAAATGCGCTAATATATTTATCACTTAACAATTACATTTATTTTGTTCAAATTCCATCGCTTCAAATATTTCATAAATTCTTTCAGATAATGAATAAAATCTTTTAAAATAAAGTAGTCTATGTCGATAGTTAAGTGAATAAAATATATTAATCGAGATTTAAATAATTCATAAAATATTACTCATGTGAGACAATAAATCGAAAAAATATGAAGATTTTCTGAAAAAAAGTATTTATTTTGTTCATTTTGATTGCAAAACAATTTTCTTAAAAGATTTCTCGCAGCTAACACTTGAGAATTTCTTTTATTCCATTTGTTTATCTATTGCTTTACCTGGATGTGTTACAGTTCATTACTGCAAGACAAGGCAGCATTATATATAGGATGGTAGAAGATTTCAAGTTCTACCAAAATTTACTAATATTTACCAACAATTTATTCTCGTTTTAATTGTGAATGAAAAAAAAGCAGAAAAATTAGCCAATGTTTCAATCCTTGTCTATGGAGAGTTTTTTTGCTTATATTCCATCAATTTTGTTTTCAATAAATAAATGTAAGACAATAATCAAGCAAATGGCATGATTGAAAATTTCAAGCGTTATCACAATGTGTAATTGTCTTTTTTGAAAATAAAACATTTCTACAATGATGAAAAACTTAGGAAACTTGTTTTGAGAACAATTACAAAATTAACTCTGTAGAAATCTATTGCTGAAAGAATTTTTAATTGCATTCGATTTATTTTCCCGCACATAATCAAAAAAATAGGTAATTATTTTTGTTTCGTGTAAACATCTAGAATTATAATTCATAAGAAGTCATATAGACAGAAATGGTAGAAGTGTTGATCAATCAATGTCTCGTTTTGAAGAAATATAGAATTTCATTCGAATAAACGTGAACTTATTTGTTTTGTTCTAACGAAACCAAAACAATGAACATGTTTCACAAAAAACAAATATTGATCCAAATTGCATCAATTGTGATTTCATCTAAGAATTTAGCATATGGATATGGAATTGAGATTTGGCTAAATATTTGGAGATGTGTAGGTTAATGTTTTACATTTGATCATGACTCAACTAGATATGCTATTTAAGATGTATAAATTGAAAAATTCTACCTATTGTTTGAAAACAATTTGATTATAATGACAAAAGTAATCAATTTGAAATGTTTAAGATTGTTTTACATCTTTTCAATGTTATCTAGTTTATATTTTCAACTTATCTCCTTCGATTAAAGATAAAGAAGTTATCAGTGAATAAGCAAAGAGATATTACTCTTAGTTTTCAAATATCATTTTATTTCTATCATGGAAACTGAATAAATCTCATGTAGACTATGAAAATCCAAAGCAAAAATGACAACAACCAATAGATTTTCATGCTCACGTTTTGATCGAAAAAAACCTTTTCGTACTCAAGGATCAACTATTTTGAATTAGATTACGGTACGAAGAAAAATATTGTTTTCGTCTTTAGAATATTAAAGGGTGTCCAAAAAGTTTCGACCCCTCTCAGTAAATCAATGATATTCCTATCAAATTTATATGAAGGTATTGATCAAATTATGCCATTTTGTAGAGGAAAAGAAGAGCTATCATCTGAAAAAGAAAATTTCGAAATACATATATTTATTACAAAGTTATGGTCATTTTACTAATTTTGAGTGAAAATTTTTACGTTACATTTTTTTGGAAAAAACAAAAATATTCTTGTGTTATTGCAATGTTTGAATTATCAAAGTCAATCGAGATATGGATTTCTATATATTTTTAGTAGATATTTTTATATGATTCGATAGGGTTCAACACGCTCTATCAGAATATGGGTATCAAAAATATTCTAATCCTCTTTTTAATACAAAGCTTGAGAAAAACCAGATGGACAAATAAAAATCTAGCATATCATGCATCGAAGAGTGTACATAACTTTCAATAACTTTGGTAGATCCACTGTTCTGTCTATTATTTTATGTATTGAGATGCTTTGTCACGTACTATAAGTGTAAATACTCTTTCCGAGCTGTAGGAACAGACGGAACAGTTGATCAACTAAAGTTATTGAAAGTTAATCATACTCTCTTTCATGGAAGATATATGAGATTTTTATTAGTCTTTCTGTTTGTCTGCAAGTTTTATAACAGAAAATGGATCAGCAAATTTATTGATATTCATATTTTTGTAGAGCTTGACGAACTCTATTGAACCATATAAAAACATCTAGGAAACAATATTTCACTTCAGGTGTTACAAGAATATTTTTATTTTTGCAAAAAATGTAACGTAAAAATTTTCGCTCAAAATTAGTAAAATGTCCATAACTTTGTAATTAATATATATGTATTTCGAAATATTCTTTTTTCAGATGATAGCTCTTCTCTTCCTCTACAAAATTGCATAATTTGACCAATACCTTCGTATAAGTTTGATAGGAATATCATTGATTTACTGAGAGGGGTCGAAAATTTTTGGACACCCTTTAATATATATAAATGAAATTTTCTACTAACCTCTTAATTCACTCAAAATTAAGTTTAGATGATTAGCTTGGACGAATATTATATTTTTATTTTACGTGATCAAATGAATAATAGCGAAGTTTGCTCTTAAATGAATTAGACAACGACATCCTAATGATGTACAGAAATAAAGAAAAACTTGGAATTCAATTATATTTGTCTAACACAATCATTTAAACTAAACTTTATTTCAATTAAGTGTTAAGTAGAAATACATAAACTTAATGTTAACTATAAACTGATTCGTTAACATTTATTACTAGAAAATGAAATGATAACTGTTGATTATTTATCATTGAGATTAAGATTTAAAAAATGAATCTTAACTTAATTTCAGGTCTAAGTAAATGCTTGATCTCCATAACATAAGATATGGATCTTCAACACAGAATCAGTTTCATCTACATATAAATTTCTTACTCGCAATTTAATGAAATTTTTGTTTTGTTGCTTCATACGAAAGGCATGTTGAGAGAAGTGATGATATTGCGCAAACAATAGGTAAAGCAAAATCAAAAAACAAGCTTACGTTTTTTTTGATTACGAAGGAAAACGAAGCGGAACAGAAAAGAAAAGGATTGTTCGTTTTGAATGCAACAAATACTAAAATGGTTGCCTTTAGGAAGTAGAATTCTATGACAACTGATTCGCTGAAATTGAAAGCATTTTGTGAAGATGTCGTTGCAACGCAACGATATGGGTAATGACAACACATTTTCTAGATCCCTCTGTGAAAACAATCATTTATGTGATGTTCAATACAAAAAAAATCAAATGTATAGCATTTTATTCGGTAGTCTTTAATCAGAATCAGCGTTGTCGATTGTTTTCAGGAGTGGGGGGGGGGGG